CTCTTCACAGTGGCCTCCTATTCCCCTCTGTCTCAACAGCCTCGAGCACACTGCCCTCAAAGCCCAGGGCCGCCCGCGAGCCAGACAGGAACCCTGCAGAGGGCAAGCTCCGGGCTCCTTCCCAGCCGCGGACACCGGGAGCTGTGATTCGGTCCCACCGCACGACTGGATGAAGCAGTCGCATCGGTTTCTCTCACCCTGAAAATACAGAAAGTATTTTACCAAACACCAGCCTCCCGTCTTCATCGGATGTAGACACCCCCAGCTCTGTTCTCGGTGAAATGGAACGCCGCTGTGGAGCTGTGAGACGAGGCCGCTGCCGCTTTGTGGAAGAGCGCTCCCACCGTGTCTTCCTGTGATGCACAGGAGGCTTCTGCACAGCCTCCGCCGCCACAGCGTGGCACGGGCTGAAGCAGCTCAGCGCACAGTCGCAAGGTGGAGGCCGCCCAGCCTGAGTCTCCTCAACACCTTCGTCTTGCTCCTCACTCACCAGCGGGTGTTTGAATAATTTCATCTGCGAGTGTGTGTTGCTACTGGGGTCCACTGTGCAGGTCTGACCAACCAGCCTGGCCCAGACGTCTTTGAATGGCAGCCCCTAGATCCGTTCTGAAAACACTGATGTTTAAAAACCAACCACGGCTAGGTAATCCATTTTAATTTCCCAGGTTCCGTTAAAAACAGATGAAATTAAGCCTCTCCTCTTAGATGTCTATTAAAAAATATGCTTGCCTTCATTAATTTGGAGATAAGTAACACAGAGCATTTCCCTACCCAGAGGAAGCCCCTCTGGGGCGTGACAGGTCACAGGGGAGACCCTCATCAGCCAGCAAGAACACTGCGTGGGGCTTATCAACCTCCAGGTTCCTCCTGGCACGTCCTTCTCCGCCAGCTCTCAGTCAGTGCAGCTCCTCACCACTGTCCTGCCCCGGGGTCGGCTTCCCCTCCTACGACTACAAGAGAAACAAATGGTTGCCCTATTGAGATCGATTATGCTATTGCTCTATTTTTATAAGACTATAAAACAGTAATTTAAAAAGGTGAAGGAGGCAAAAAGGCCATAAAATGGTAAGTTTATCCTATTTTTTCACATAAATGTGTGTGCATGTGCTTTTGAAAAGGAAAACTTAATATACATTAAAAAGAGAGACTGGACATTCATTTCTCAGGATGCTCCCTGCGGTTGCTCCTTGGGTGGTCTAAGTATAGGCTGCTTTTTTTCCCCCCACTGTGTTTCTCTGATTTCCAAATCTAGTTTAAGAGAGGAGGCTTGAACGACCAGCATCGGGAACACAGAGGTGCTGATAGGTCTTGTTGGTGTTAAGAAGGTAATGAAAGGATACTGCATGTAACTCCACGCAAATCAGTTAATCCGTTAGAAACAGATTCCTGAGAAAAGTACAATTTATCCAATGGACACACAAAGAAACAGAAAATCACAAAACTCCTGTATCTGTCTTTAAAAATGAGTCTAGTTAAAAATAATCCCACAAAAGAACTTCAGGCTTAGATAGGTTCACCCGTGACTTTTACTAAACATTTAAAGAAAAAGTCTTAGGAGGCTGAGGTGGGCGGATCACGAGGTCAGGAGATCGAGACCATCCTGGCTAACACGGTGAAACCCCGTCTCTACTAAAAATACAAAAATTAGTCAGGCGTG